GTATAATATTGCTTTTCACATATATAGGAATATTTAATTATTATGCTTCCGGCTTATTCATGTAACTGTTTGACAAGAAACTCGCCGGTAGGAGCGCGACAGTCGCCGCGTCGCGGGTTGCGAAATGCTGCTCATGAATATGAGCCTCTAGCATGGCTTGAAATTAAACCAGGTTGTTTTAATTCCTATTAAATTTTAAGGAATCCCTAGGCTAAGATATGTGACACTTTACGCCATTTTGATTTTAGTGACACCTACAGTAAGTACGAAGTTTAAGTGTTACGTCACGGTAAGTAACTCTTAGTAAAGAGATGGTTTAGGTGTGGTTGAATGAACCAGGCCATACTTAATATGTTTATAATATTAATTCGTATTTGGGATTCGTTACCAACACCTACGCCACCGGCGAGCGAGTCTACCGCGCCAGAGGCCGCGGAATATTGCTCACGAATATAAGCCTTTTTAGGGGGGGGGGGATCATCGAATGACTTCTCCCGCCTGGGTGAGACGGGAGGTAGTGTCAGACTCTTACTGACTAAAAACCACCCCGTTCCTACTCCTGCACTTCGAGCCGGAGCCCCGGTAACCCGTTAAGTTCTCCACGATTCCGTATCGGCATCAGCTCTATTGGGCCCATCTGTGGTGGTCTGATGACTCTTTCACGCTCGGGTCTCTAGCATGGCTTGAAACTAGTCGAGTTCCCCGTCAAATAATTACGTGAGTAAGCCGAAAACATAATAATTAATTTAGTATGTTTTTAATATAAATATAAATATAGTAATATTTGCCTTCTGTTCATACAATCCTGCAAAGTTCCACTTCAAAAACCTTCGTTAAAGCCCATCCATTTCCAGACCTTGCTTAACTTTGACACTTGAGTTACAAAATATACAATTGTTAAAATCTAAGTATAACTTAATTTCTAAACTAATACTGCTTATTATTTTGGTCTGTATTGTGATAGGGGGTTCGATTCCGGGCTGGTTATACATACAGGGTGTTGTAGAAAGGTGTGATGATTGATAGAGGGTGTTTGTTAAGTCAAAATTTAGTTTATTTTTTATGAAATGTAAAAGAGATAGACAGATGTGCCCATATACAATATAACACCCAGTTTTCACTATGTGGGCACTTATAGGCTGTTGATGAGTATGTTACTCTTTATATCAGTATGTATTTTTTTTTAAGGGGGGAAAATCATCGAATGACTTCCCGCCTGGGTGAGGCGGAAGGGAGTGTCAGACTCTTACTGACTAAAAACCACCCCGTTCCTTCTCCTGCACGTCGAGCCGGAGCCCCGGTTACCCGTTAGGTTCTCCGCGACACATCAGTATGTATACCTTTTTAATATTATCATCACGCTTTTCTACAATGCTACTGAGTACATACCATAATACCCGAATCGATCTAATCATGCTTACACCATCTACTGCTAGGTATAATAAATGCATTAAGTTAATTTATTAACGTACGAATATTAAGTCTCAGTCTCTAAGTGACAGTGTAATGTCAGTATGAGACTCTTGTGAAGTCATTTTGAGACTGCTGTGATGTTAATGTGAGACTACTGTGAGATTAATAAAAAGTCACTATGAGACTTGTGAAGTCACTGAGATTATTGTGCTACTTGGAGACTGGTGTGATGTTAGTGTGAGACTACTGTGAGATTAATAAGAGGTCACTGAGAGACTCGTAATGCCAATATGAGACTCTTGTGAAGGCACTGTGAGACTGTCGACGTTGATGTGAGACTGGTGTCATTATAAGACTACTGTGATGTTGACATTAATAAGAGGTTACTGAGAGACTTATAATGTCACTATGAGACTCTTGTGAAGTCACTGTGGGATTACTGAGTTACTTGGAGATTATTGTGATGACTTTGTGGGACTATAATAATAGTCTTTGATTATTGTGATCATTCTGAGAGCATTGTGATGTCACTGTAAGACTATGTTACTTTTCTGAGACAACCTGATGCCATTGTAAGACAATTGTGATTTCCATATGTGATTCTTGTAGTGACATTATGAAATAATTGTAATGTCACCGTGAGACTGTAATACTACTGTTGGACTGTGTGATGCCAATTTGAGACTGTGACTGTGATGTCATTTTGAGACTTAAATTATTTTAATATATTGACGTACGCTAACAAATTAACCGTTTAGCTACAAAAATACTAGTTACATTTTGTACAACATTGTAGATATTTTTCTTGTTTATTTTTTTTCATTAAGTTTGTCTAAAACTTCTATATTTATATAAAAATACGTTATACAGCGGTGCACTATCACGCTTAATCTAAGAAAGGTGTGGACAGGCGGATTGGGTGTTTAAACCCGTATTTTGTTTATAGTTCACTTAAATTTTTAAATGCGACTGTCGCGTTTCTACTAGCTACTCAAGTCTACGGTGCGGCCCAGCGCACCCTGCCCAGCGCGTCATGAATATGAGCCTCTAGCATGGCTTGAAACTAGTCGAGTTCCTCGTCAAACAGTTATTGAGTAAGAATCACGGCTTTTTATGCTCCGTGGATAGCGTGAGACTTAAACACTAGACAGTTTATTAGGCTCTATTCCTAAGTCAGGCAGTTTTACGTAACAATGTGAGTAATACTGATAATATTAAAAGTATTTCTGCTATTATGGTATACGCCGGCAAACCAGTTGACGGATCACCAGTCAGCGATCAGCGTCGTCCATGGACTCCCCAAAAAATACGGAAGTTACAAGTACGTTGCCGGCCTTTCAGTATTAATACTGGATCTTTCTGCCTAACCGCTAACCTAGGCGTGAATTATGAAACTTAGGTGAACTACAAACAAATTAAAAACTATAAAATTACCGTAGCCATTCTCAGAAGGCACTAAATGATTATTTTTTTAAGACAAATGTACCAGTTACAATATACATATAATGCTAAAGAGTCCTTGTTTGTATGCACTAATCCTAGGAACTACTAGTCCTAATTAAATGATTCCTTTTGTGTTCGATAGTCCATATACCTAATACGGCTATAGGCTACAAAACATCACGCTACGATCAATAGAAGCCGAGCAGCAGGAGACATAATTAACTAAAAATCGCTGGTTACTCACGTGAATATACTGATGTCGCACAGCCTACTGACATCGCCGCGACCGCGCACGCTGCTCATGAGGAAAAATCCCTCAGTGGTTCGAAACTAGTACAGCTTTTCTCAGTATATTCACGTGGGTAATCCGCGATTTTTAGTTAATTTAGTATGTCTCACGATAGTTATTATAAAAACGGAGACATAACAGACATTATTTAATTCGATTGGGTAGTTTTTTTTATGGAATAGGAGGCAAACCAACGGCAAGTACCAATATGGCTTTTTCCGAGTTATATGTACTCTCTAAGATTATCTAGACACCACTGACAAACGGTGAAAAAAACATCGTGAGGAAACCTGGGCTTATAATTTCTAATTATACATTTGTAATTGCCAACCCGCATTGAGCAAGCGTAGTGATTAATGCTCAAACCTTCTCCGTGTGAGAAAAGGCTTTGCTCAGCAGTGGGCATTTATAGGCTGTTGATGAGGAGGCAAACGAGCAGACGGATCACCTGATGGAGTGTCGGTGATTAGAGCGACTAAACAAAGAAATCTTTCAACTTTATAATATTAGTACAGATTGAAACGCATTTAAAATTATAATATTTTTATAGAAAGAGTAACGAATGGAGTTTCTTGCTCGTTCTTCTCCATTCAAATCTACACTTTGGAAGGAGCACCTAGCTTCACCTAGCTTCACTGACGGACTGACTGACAGGCTATTATTTATTTTGTATTTGTTGACGTTTTAAAAGTAACAAATTATGGTTTAATTAAAATAAATGCTTTGACTTTGACAGTATTTTTATAACTACTAGTTATAAAAAATAACTGGTACATGTATCTTAAATTATTTTAAAAACTATGATAGCTGCCTAAGTTATAGTAAATGCATTAGTTTCCTAGATTACAGCGTACATACGGATAAATAGTCATACAAAATAATACTACGTCATTATTTTTATGTATAATATAAACATTACCGATAAACTGGCCTAAATGTTGGCAACATTTATTAAAAATATTTGTAAAGAGTTGCCATAGCGAAAAAATGAACACAAATTGTTAGGATTTTTGTTTTTTTCGTATGTTTAATATTTAACGTTGAAATGTAGTTTGAAGATATTTTTTTAGTTTTTTTTACGCACTTACTTCAAGTACAGTTAAATAGAGATGCCAATACATTTACCATGTACACACGGCTACATATCGAGCTTTACATAACCAGTATAAACTGAACGTTAAATGTGCGGAAAGATGATGCGACGCGACACCAGGATAAACTGGTTTTGTATAGATTGATGTGTGGCCGTCTGTACGTGCATCTCTTTCTAACTACGCTTGCGTATTGTTCTATAAAACGGGTTCGCTTGCATAAAATATATATATAAATGTTCTAAAATGCCTCTTTAATTATAATCATTAAAATGATTTTATTAATTTCTAAGATATTGTATTTTTTTATGAAAAATCGTGTCTCATGTATAATTTCGATTAGGTAATATAGATAAAATTATTATGTCACATAATCAGTAATTATAATGCAATTTGATTAAAAAATCAATCATAAAATCAATGTATTAGAGCTTTAAATTGTGTAGCAAAATATAAATTATTATTAAAAAATCACTTATAATTTGTTTTAAACACAGGACAGGTCATTTTCAATCAAGGTAATGATAATTGGGATGATGACAGGGTATGAAAATTAAAAATCTAATTAGTCCGTAAGTTAGGTAATGAAAAAATATTAGACACGTATTTTTTTATTTTGTCATATAACAAAACAATACTTAGATAAAACGAATCAAAGTGTAGAAGTGGGGGCTAAAACGTCATTTCTACGTATACAATGTACATAGAAGTGACGTCACGGGACATTTCAAATCAATATATCGTCGAAAGTATTCGTTTCTGTGAGAAAATAAAAAATACGTGTCTAATGATTTAAAATAATCTATCAGACGGGCATTAAAATAGAAATTAGGCGTCTACCCTATTCATAGGGTGTAAAATCTATATATTTTAGTCCATCAATATAAATAATTAAAATATAAGACACGAAAGCCAATTTCCATCAACCTCTCCTAAATTTTAAGGAACCACTAGATTAAGATAGGTGACACTTAGCGCCATTTTGGTTATAGTGACACCTAACAGTAAGTGAGTTTAAGTGTTACGTCAAGCTCGTAGTTAAGATAGTTTAGGGGTGATATGGTTTAGGGGTTGTCGGTGAAACAGGCCATACGATGCTATCGATTGAAATGATAAAGTGAACTGTATGCTCAATTACTTACAAAGCTATACCAGGGCCTTTAGCGAAACGCCACTTTAGCGCTTGTCTACAGAGAGAGTAGAAATCAAAATGTATGGGGATGATAATGACAAGTGTCAAAATTTACGTCAATTCCATATAACTTAGTTTTCTACTCTACAAGTAGACAAACGCTAAATCATCGACATATACTAATGGACATGCCTTAGAGATGAGAATTGTGGCACTCCGAAAGAAAGAGAGGAAATGAACTTTCGGTCTATCTTTATCTCTCTCAAAATAGTACCGTAGTTAAGACGTTATGAGCGAGAAAGAGATAGCGCTAGACCGAAAACATAGGCCATCTCTCTCACTCTATTCGAACCACAAAATTACTGCAGATTATAAGTGTATGGCATGTCCATTAGTATTAGAGATGCAACGAATAGTTGTTTGGCCGGATACCGGATATTCGGCCGGACGGCAGTGTGATACCTACATTTTAAGTTACGTAGGTGCGTATGCGTACCGCCACGCCGCTCACCGTGCAGGTTTTGACTTGTTATTAGAAAAAGTTAAAATTGTTTAAAATAATAACAAGATTCAATTACTACTGTGTCTTTATTTAGATTTCATTTTTAAAATCTACCAAGTTTACTATCCGGTATCCGGCCGGATAGTAAATAACGGCCGGATAAGCCGGATATTCGGTGCATCTCTAATTAGTATATGTCGATGCGCTAAATGGCATTTGGCTACAGCTGCAGGATACATAATTATAAGTTATGAGCCAGTGGACTTTAATATTTTAATAATCTAATTTGATGGACAAAATAAACATATTTCAAATTCCATTCTCAATCAGCAGTCTTGTAAAAATCATATTAAAAATGTTCTTAAAATTAATGTTGCCAACAAAAATACGAATTACAAATACATACAATGTTACCATATTATGATATCACTCGATTTTGGAATTACAATTCTTTCGATCACATAAATCCTACCACACTACATTACATATATTGCTATCCTTAAAAAAAACAATACATACATTACGTACAAAAAATAAAAAAAAACTGTCAAAAAAAATCACAAAAAACAACTATCCTACCAAAGTTGCCAGTTGTAAAAAATTAAAAGCTACCAAGTTGTATAAAAATACTGAGTGTTGCCAGTGTGGGGGGTTAAAATACTACTAAAATACCTTGTTTTAGCTGTTAGGGACTGCGTCTCGCCACGTGCCAAACCAGCTTACGTTAAACATGCCGGAATAAGGGTGCTTCCTTTTCTTATGGAGCCGGAGAGACTCTTCGGACGCATACCAGAATTGAGGATACTTGTCGAAAGGGTATTTCTGCGGTTCTTTTACGAACGGCTCTGATGGATCGTCTGTAATATGAGAAAGAAAAATTTTAGAACATAATATTTTGCTTATAATAGACTACCTCGTTGGACGAGTGGTCGCAAGTGCGTCTAGCGACAAGGGGTCTCGGGTTCGATCCCAGGGTCGGGCAAAGTATTACAGTGTTTAAAAAAATCTCAGTAGTAGCACGGAGACTGAAGTTGTGCCCGGTATATGGCAACAGGCTCACCCCTATTACATGGGACTCACAACATAAATAGTGAAAAGTGGGTGTTACATTGTACAGTGGCATTAAGTGCCGTAATGCGCACTTCTGTCTACTTTTATCAGGGATAAAAGACGTGATGTTATGTTATGTGTACTACTACAAATATAAGACTGTAATACTCACGTGGAGGTAGGCAGTATAGACAAAATATCCTATGTCTCCGACTCTCATGGGTTTCCAGATGTTTTTTGTGATGTTTTCTTCTCGTGGACACGTGTGGGCAGCATGGGCAGGGGATCGCGAAGTCCTTCGGCACGCAACCGTGGCGCTCCGCCGCGTGCGTTATTAATGTTGAGGCTACGCGATAACCCTGGAAAAAAAAGGAATTATGTATGTAGTAATATTCGTATAGGGTAGACATTAGACATCACATTTAGGTTTCGTGTTGGGTAGACATTTGCGTGGTTCTCTCTCGGAAAGACCTTATAATGAATTTTCATTCAGTTTTTTTATAATATTCTAGCGAACCGCTCCGGCTTCACGGAATATGCATGTATAATATATATACGCTGCCTTAAGAATGACTCTATCTATTAAAAAAACCGCATCAAAATCCGTTGCGTAGTTTTAAAGATCTAAGCATACATAGGGACAGACAGACGGCGGATAGCGAGTTTGTTTTATACTATAGTGATATATATATAGCCGCGGTTTCGCCTTGTTTTCGAACACACAGAGTTTGGAATTTGGATAATATTATTCTTTGTGAAAACATGTACCTACTCAATATGTATTTGGTTTCCACCACGGAAATTTGACTAAAAACTAAGTGAGTCCTATGTATCCAGCACGAATAACTATCGCAATCGTAACGTAATAGTATCGAGCGCGTTAGGCGCTATATAATAATAATAATAAAGTTTATTTAGCAAAAAGTTACAGAAATGTACATAAGTAGACATAACAAGTGGGTGGACTAATTCTAGGCATTACAGTTTGTTGCAAAGATTTCTGTACAGAATTATAGTAACCCTGCCTCTTAAACTAGGATATCCTGTATTTTAAGAGACAGTGTCTAGCTTATAAATTTACCAATTTTTTACAACAGTGGACAATGTCGATCTGCCGTTTAAACTTGACAGCAGTAATAGTTGTGAGTGTACGAGTAGAATGTGGACTGGATGTGTAGTGGTGTGATGTGGTATCTGTTTGTTGTGGTTTTGTGTGTGTGAATACAGGGGTAAGTGTGTGGATGTATGTGTGAATATGTTTGTAGTGCACGGTTCTACATTTTAGGCGATGTAAGTAAGTATGATTCTGCGTGTACGCTCTGATTGGTTTGTTTACTGGAGCCGGCCAATCAGAGCGCCGAACGCACTCGATACTATTACGTTACGATTGTGATAGTTATTCGTGCTTGGTACTCAGTTCACACATAGGACACATACTTGCTTCCAATAATATTTATGGCAAGAGCGCTTAAATGCACTGAAATTTGTTCCAGGTTCCACAAGGTCCGTAAATTAAGCTACTATATTTACTTACTTTAAAACAGTGTTCACACTGGTAGGGGAAGTTTTTCCATTTGGGGTTCTTCTTGCGACTGAACACCATCTTATAGGGCTCCGTCGGAAACCAGTCCTCAGGATCTAGCAGCAGTTCCACCAGCTCTGTACCTGGAAGATGTAAAAACCACACCATTTCACTCGTTTATCTAACAAAATGTTATAGAGAGCTAAAGATTATGATTATTTAAACGCGCTAATCTGCAGAAGCTAAGCAGCATGAGCTTAGGCTGTGCGTGCCGGATAGTTATGTGTGGCGTCGGCGACGGCCGCAGTTGTTGGTGGTACCAACAGCCCGCACCGAGCTTCTAAAGCAAGCTCCGATGACACGCGCGATACGCACACTAAATGCAATAGCGGAGCAGATCGATTTGTTTCACTGTTCGGTGACTGACTTCACAAGGGTAGCGTATTCGGTGATATGTTATTAATGTTATTAGGATAATTTAGTATTGTGGTTTCGTTTTAAACTGTCAAACACCAAGCGGTCACCGGTGACCGCAACCTATTGTTCTATAATTGTGTCTACAAAACCGGTACTCGACGAGTTAATTATATATATTTTATTTGCTTGTATATATGTTTGGTCTAAGGATACTGCTGTTATTAACTTTGTTTGCATGTTTTGTTTAATGTAAGTAGCTTCTCTGTCACATTAGGTTAAACCTGTAATGATAGATGTAAGTGTGGTAATAAATAAATAAATAAAAAAAATAAATAAAAGAATAAGTAAGTTGTTGAACTCCATAAGTTGTGGTCGCCCGGAGGTTTAAGACGCCCGCTTCTCATGCATGAGGGTGCGGGCTCGAAACCTATCAACGGCAAGTACCAATGTGACTTTTTCCGAGTTATATGTACTTTCTAAGATTATCTAGACACCACTGACAAACGGTGAAGGAAAACATCGTGAGGAAACCTGGGCTTATAACTTCTAATTATAAGTTTGTAATCGCTAACCCGCATTGAATCAGTCAGCCTCACCTGTAAATTGAGCTGACTGTAAACCGACACATGCGTACTGCCTTCAGAACGGGTCCGCTCAAACTGTTGTGGTTCTTTCCTCAAAAGGCCACTACAGAAAGAACTTGCACGGTTCTCACACATAATCTGTTATACATATTGTCTGGACTTTAAAAGAGACAGACCTCTGAGTTTGTTTCGGCATTTCTTCTCAGAGTAGTCAGTTAGGAAATGTCGGCCTCATCGTTCGCTTGATAAAATTGACGTGTAAAAGTGCTGCTTTGTAGCCTATTTGCAGAAATAAATTCACTTGTTTCACTTGTTTCGCATTGAGCAAGCGTGGTGAATAATGCTCAAATCTTCTCCGTGTTAGAAGAGGTTTTGCTCAGTGGTCTACTACACCATGTTTAAATTCCCATAATTGCTCATTTATTTATTTATTTATTAATCTTTCATCTTTCACTTCTTATGTCTACCGGCAGACTATCTACCTATTCAATAGATATGGTATTTTCGTTATTGGTGTTCTATCACCAAAATAGTTGGTGACTCTGGGTATATTGTATCTACCAGCAGCTATAGTTCGTGCGTTATGGTTGTTCCTTATATAAGACTAGCGGACCCAACAGACGTTGTCCTGCATATCCACTTAAATGTATAAACAAAAATTCATTCAAATTAGTTCAGCTGTTTAGGATAAATAACCTAAACACCGACTGCAGCGCCATCTGCCGGGCTGATTTGTGAATCTAAACCATTCCCAGATCCAGATGAAATTTTTTATGTGTGTTCAAGGACACACATAAAAAATTTCATCAAAATGGGTCCAGTCGTTTGAGAGAAGTTCAGTGACATATACACTCAAAGAAGAATTATATATATAAAGATAAGTTATGCTCCTGAGTATGGTCGTGGTTAACTAATAAAAGATATTTATGTTTGAAAGTAATCGGGACAATCTTGGATATTTTAAATAATTTTCTATAGTCTTCTTTACAGCTGCTTTTAGTTTTTTTAGTAACAAGTAGTTTTAAGAATCTAATTTGAAGAGCTTCCAATAGGGTAGTTTCCTAAATTTTATTTCAATGTCCGTCTGGTACATTAATTTAAAACTTTAGACACATATTTTTTGTTTTCTCACAAAATTAAATACTTTCGACGTTATATTAATTTGAAATATCGTGTGACGTCACAGCGTGCCGCATTTTGTAGCACGTTATGACGTAACGACCTCCCACTCCTAAACTTAGCGCCATTTTATCTAAGTATTGCAACTTAACACGAGAAAATAAAAAAAATACGTGTCTAATATTTTTTCATTATCTAACTGATGGACTAATTAGATTATTAATTTTGATACCCTGGAAACTACTCAATTGCTTGCTACCAGGTGCTATGCCATATTTATATTAATGTTATTTTTATAGGTTAAGCCGGTAAACGAGCAGACGGATCACCTGATGGTAAGCAATCGGCGTCGCCCATGGACAACTGGAACACCAGAGGCGTTATAACTGCGTTACCGGCATTTTGGGAATTAGGATTTTGAGGATTGTTGGGGATTCAGGGATTGGCGAGGTAATTGGGTCTCCAGTAACCTCTCCCAGACGACGAAACACAACACAAGCGTTGATTCACGTCAGTTTTCTGTGAGGCCGTGGTATCTTACCTTCAGGCACCTTGATCTCCTGTACAGGTTCCGGAGCAGGCAGTATGGGTGTTGGCACTCCGACGCCAGTTATAGTTGTATTGTTCGCGGCTAGGAGACTTGATAGTATGGTGTTCTGAGTCTGGAGTGTGGTTGACTGAAATGTAGGGAAATTGGTGATTAGTACGATACGTAAAGGCTTGTTTATCTAGTACTAGCTTTTACCCGCGGCTTCGCTCGCGTCACAAAAGGATAAAAGTAGCCTATGTGACATATACCAATACTCACAACGCCATCTATAGCAATACTTTTATTTTCCCTCGGGAATATCTTTATCCGGGATAAAAAGTACCCTATTATTTAATTCAGACTTCTAACTTTACGTCTGCAAAAAATCAAAGCAATCGGTTTAGTAGTTACGGCGTGAAAGCGGAACAAACACACAAACAAACTCACTTTCCGATTTATAATATTAGTAAGGATAAGCAGAGAGGATGGAACATCTAATGATACAATTAGAATAATGATATAGATTTTTTTTAATTGTAGTGTTTCTACTGACACTTTTTTTTACTTCTCAGTTCTCTTCTCAGCACGGATACTGGAATTGGGATGATGACAGGGTATGAAAATTAAAAATCTAATTAGTCCGTAAGTTAGGTAATGAAAAAAATATTAGACACGTATTTTTTTATTTTGTCGTATAATAAAAATACTTGGATATAACGAATCAAAGTTTAGGAGTGGGGGCTAAAACGTTACTTCTACGTATAAAATGTACATAGAAGTGACGTCACGCGACATTTCAAATCAATATATCATCGTAAGTATTTGTTTCTGTAAGAAAATAAAAAATACGTGTCTAATGATTTAAAATAATCTACCAGACGGACATTAAAATAAAAATTAGTCATCTACCCTATTATTCGGAGTCCGTTTGTAATGTTTCTTTTTCATAACATTGCCCCACACTAGGATTTTCTCTTATGTCGTGGGTGCGTTTACAAACATACAAGTTCACATACACATGACACCCAGACCCGAAACAACAATTTGTGGATCACACTAAGAGTTGCCGTGAATCGAACCCACTACAGGTTGCGCGGCAGCCAGTTGCCCAGCCACCGCGCCAACCGTGCAGTCTACTAGGTTTTACCCGCGAATTTGTTCGGAAGAATTAGCCATTGTCCCAAGTATGGGAGAGCCATGCTTCCGCACGAATGGGCCGGCCCGACCGGAGTGATACCACGGCCGAGCAGAAAACCGACGTGAAGCAACGCTTGCGTTGTGTTTCGTCGTGTGAGTGAGGTTACCGGAGGCCCAATTACCTTCCCCTTCCCCAATCCCTGAATCCCCAAAGATCCTCAAACTCTTAATCCCCAAAAGCCGGTAACGCACTTGTAACGCCTCTGGTGTTCCAGGTGTCCATAGGCGACGCCGATTGCTTACCATCAGGTGATCCGTCTGCTCGTTTACCGGCTTATGCCATAAAAAAAAATTGTACTTCTTCTCTGGTTGAGTAGACTAAAGCGTAAAAAAGTAACAAATAGCTCTATAGTATTAGTACTTCATTAAAAATAATTACCTGCAAATTTCCATTGAAACTCTGCGACAGCTCCAGCTTCTCCGCCTTAGGTTTTCTCTTGTACCCTTTCGGAGGCCCACGTTTCTTGGCAATCTCCCCATTTTTCTTATACCGAACAACTTCACCGTTGACAACTGGAGTTATAGTCAACTTAGCGGGCAAAGAGTATCTATTATGCAAATTTTTTACTAAAGCCTCCCCATTCTGTGGTCTTGTCGTTGCAAAGGACAACGGATTGGCTAAGTTTAACGGATTGTTCACAAAATTTGGTAGTGTATTCGTTGGGTATATGGATAGTGACTTCGGTGTGTTGAATGTTGGTATTTGGTAGACCTGCAGATTCAACGGGGAGTATTTTATTCTCTTTGCTTCCGGTTCATCCTCTTCGGAGTCTGTTTGGGTTATACTTAACGGGTCTTTGTCTGATGAGAACGATGCTCTTTCTTTTTCTTGGACGCAGAACATCTGTAATTTTAAAGAAGACATATAATTAATATTTCATTATACTTTTAATTTAGTTTTTTTAGTTTTTTAGCTGGCGAGAGCTGGATGAAGGAAGCTCAAAATAGAGAAAAGTGGTCTAACCTGGAGGAGGCCTATACCCGTACAGGGGTTCCCTTTAATTGAATCGGATCACATAATTAATTATTAAATATAAATTTAATCAAAAAAAAAAAAGAATCAATGTAATGCATGAAATTAATTACTAATAGAATTATTAGATGATATTTATTACATTGAACTTCTGTATTGTTAAATTATAACCAATTGAAATGTATCCTTGTTACTATGGGAACGAAATAAAGGCTTATTTATTTATTTATTTATACTTTTAATAAGTTAATAGCTTCTGCCTGCAGTTTTGTCCGCTTCCCTGTGGCAAAAAAGCAGCCTATTTATTTATTTAGAAAACTTACATATATAACAACACTACAGTTTACGCCATTAAGTTGTACTGGTAATGTTATATAAATACTATCATTTAGGTACTTAAAAACAAACTAATTAGGTAATTAAATATAAGAAATAAAAATTAATACAATTCAGAAACAAAATCAACAAAAAAAAAACTATACAATACGGTATTTGACAATTTTTGGAAATCGTTTTAAATGGTTGTTTTAGTATATAATATACGTACAAAATTAATCTTACTGCAAAATTTACAGTATTTAGGATAAACATCGAAGTTACAATTTAAATTGTAAAAAGCGCGGCAGAAACGATTTCATTGTAATGGCTCGAGTCACGTGACGCGTGTGACGTCACACGCTAGTACAACAATCCATCTTGCTTGAATATTCAAAGGTATTGCTTGTTATTAAATCATATTTCAGTATTTATTAGAAATTATGTCTTATAAATGGTGTGTAGTGCCACAATGTACAAATACATCAATAAAAACACCGGAAAAAGTATTTTTATCTGTTCCTACGAATCCCAAAAAACGTAAATTGTGGTTACGGTTGGCGCGAAGAGAGCCAAACAGTGTCTCGATGCGTACAAATATTTTTATGTGTGAAGATCACTTTAATGTAAGTAGCACTTAACTTTATACTTAATAGATAGTACCTATCTATTTTCTAATGTTATTTTTGTTTCCTGAGCTACTCATTAGTCTTGTCAAACTTAGTCTAAATAACTTTTTACAACATGAATACTTCACTTGTTTACTTTATTTATTAATGGATATCAATGTGAATTTCAGTTGGAAACAGCCATAAAGAACTACATGATGTACAAAATGGGCTTCAATCAGAAGATGCTTTTGGCAGATGAAGCTGTGCCAACAAAATTCGATTGTCAAGAGGATCGCAAAAGACGGTTGTCTGGTGGACCTTCTCGAGACCTGCCCATAAAGAGACAAAAAAATGATATCGTCACAGAATGCTTACAAAGTTTAAGTGCCACTAAAACCCATGCCGAAATGCTTCAAGAAGACAATTATGTGCCACAAAACGTTATTGAGCCTGAAGGTATGGTACAACTAAATTTTATTTTCCATTACAAATTGAATCAGTAAGATTGTATAATAAATGTTGGATGTTTGTATTTTCAGTATTACCAAGGACTGCAGATAAAGGAATGTGTACAGATCCTATAATTGCTGTAGAAAAGTCTGTCCAAGTGTCAATGAAATCAAATGTGCATTATAGGAGCAAAGCTATACAAACTAGAAACAAAAATAAAAGTATTTCGACATCACCATTCAAAGTGTCCACAACATCGAGTTACACTTCACCTTTTAAATATGAACAATGCAGTCTTCAACGGTTACAGTCAGGAGTTGTAAAAGCAGCTAAAGAAGTTGTTGCCTTAGAACGTGATAAATCAGATAGTGAAATTTCAAGCATTAAGAGTGGTTATTCTTCACCTTTTGTACCTACATCATCAAAGATTACAGATTCTGATAGTTATACTACGGATACTAATTCCACTGTTCATCAACTGCAGTGCCTCAAAAATACCCTACATTTAATTAAAAAAAAACCATTAATGTATGTTGGTATTACTGAACATTGTTATTTTATTATTCAGTTAATGCACAAACACACAAATATAAAAGTAGAACACATTTTGCTATGCTTGAAAAAAATTAGACTAAATAGCACATTTTCTGAATTAGAGGATAATTTTGGAATGTCACTATCATATGCCAGTAAAATATTTTTAAATAACATACCCATATTGAGTAGCTTTTTGAGACCATTTATTGTAAATTTAAACAGTAACTTAACAAAGAGAAATCTTCCAATACCATTTAGACATAACTATCACAATGTCAGCTGCATTATTGATTGTCTTGAAATTGATATACAAAAACCATCTAAGGCTCTACACCAGGCTCTGACATGGTCAGAGTACAAGAAGGGAAATACTGTGAAGTATTTAATATCCTGCACTCCTAATGGATTAGTCAACTATGTTTCTCAAGGCTTTGGGGGCAGAACGAGTGATGTTGTAATAGTAGAAAACACTGACTTTCTAGATAAATTACAACCTGGAACTTGCATCTTAGCGGACAGAGGCTTCAAACACCTAGAACAAATACTTCATAGTAAAGGCATTAAACTATTACGGCCGCCTAGTGTAAGTGCTGGTGTAAAGTTATCCAAATCTGAAGTCCGACAAACTAAAATAATTGCAAGCCTGCGAATTCATGTGGAAAGAGTAATAAGGCGCTTGAGAGAATTCCACATGCTAAAACAACATACAGTGATAAACACCAACATACTTCGTATAATTGACCATATAATTATTATTGCATGTGCTTTAATAAATTTGCAAGACTCTCTTATTAAGTAATGTTTTGTATATTAATATTATATCTTCCTAGAAATACTAAGTAAAGAAAAAATTAAGAAAGAATATCTTACTAAATGTGGCCTTTTGGCTCTGTCTACCTCTGATAAGGATGTGATGTATGAATGTTATCTTTAAGAAGGAAAGTTGTTTGTTTGCATTGAATAGGCTCCAAAACAACTAACCACAGCTCAAAGTGCTTGCCAAGACAATTAATCAAACAAGTCAAATCACAATCAGTGCATAGGTATTATTATATATTATTATGTACACATATTTAGTTAAATTAAATAAAAGTTAGTTAAATTCTTTCATCTTGGGATAGATATGTTACATAACACACTTTTCACTGAGAGCAATGAATGTAGCAAAAACTAAAGGCATGGGGACTTCTAGTGTAGTGTATGTATTTGTAAGTTTTATAAATAAATGTAAATACCTATTGAAAAATAAATAAAACAATGTGCACAGAAAACATTTTTATTTATTAATCTGTCACCCTAGTGCTACGGTACAAAACTGGATAAACATTATTTTTCCAAAAAGTAACCAGCTTTTGCAGTAAATTATGGGTATAAGCACTATCATAATGCACTAAAAGAATATCCACCTTTTGGTTCTCTTCAAATTTGCTATCTGCAACACAGAAATAGCATTTTTTCATGCTAGTTGCATGCATTTGTAATTGCACCTGTGCATTAAATTTTTCTGTAATTACTCCATTTTTTATATAGTTCTCTTTGGTTTTAGCCTGAGTAGGGCATTTTATTTCAATAACAGCATCCTTTGTTAGGCCATCAGGAGATGCTGCAATCATGGGACTCTCATTACATACGTAAAGTCCACATATACTTATTTTTTTGTTCAATATGGAAGCAACTTTCTTTCGGACTGCCTTTTCTAAAGTTCTTCCTCTTTTCATTGCTAGCGTATCTGGTATTTTTGCACCCATCACAGTAGCAATCAATGACCCTTCTGGTGTCCGGCAAACACTCACTTGATATGCTTTTGAAGCTGTGATACGGCCATAACGCATCTCATACCACAAACTGCTTTTATCTTGATTTCTCGTTGCTTCTTCTATGGCACTTATTTCAGCCTCTGTGATATTTGTCTTCATCACTTCAACAAATTTATCAACATCAGCACTAGTTTCCTCTGATTGATTCATCAAAAAACAGTGTAATGAATACTGCATGACATCTTTATGTTTAAAATCATTTTGATATTTAAGTAATTCACATTTGGTTATATTTCTAGATTTGGCCACAGAAATGAATTCATTATATAGTTCAGATGAACTTGGTCTATGAGGCACTGCTTTCTCACACATCTGCTCAACAGTGATATATTTCATAGTGGTCCCTACTCGCGATAGAATAGGTTTTTTCCAGTAGCATTCTACTGAAGTACATGCAGGTTCCTCAGTGCGACGATGGACCCACATCAGGAAAGCAACTGAATGCTTGCATCCCCCAGCTGAAGCAGCACAGTCAAGGCACTGGCAGCTAATGACTTCACTATCTTCTTCATTGATAATCATTGTTACATTATATGCCTTTGACCGAACTTTATGCTCTGGGCATATTTTGCATTTCATTGTGCAAACTCCTTGCTCCCGTTTGATTTGCACATAGCCAATGGCGTCGTCACCATAAGATTCCCTTGCAGACCTGTAAACAAAAGCAAAAACCACATAAGAGATGTGACTCTAAGTTCCTAACCTAAAAATTAAGGCTTATTAAAATCAATTAATACGGGAATAATATTATATAACGACATAAAGGTATTATAATGCAACAATAGCATTTATTATATATGAAAACAAATGATTAAAATATGCCGCGTGAATTTTTTTCTACAACATATAACATATAAGTTTACAAGGGTAAATAATATGTAAATAGATTCCACTTTGGTACTTACACTGCTGTTTTCACATTTTTTAGTTCAGATGAATAATAATCAGCGTTATTCTTAAAAAAAAGTGCAACCATTAAAGCGTCTATCCTGGGTAAGTTGCTGCTATCGGCTTGCACAAAATTTGCGTCCATTTTTAGTATGGTAAACTAATATTAATAACACTAGTTATAAACAATGTCCGTAGTAGCAAGTAGTAACAAGTAATTCTTCGAAAATAGTTTACAAATAGAAATTACAGCCAAAACACAGTAAACTCCAACGACAATCAATAGCGCAAAACACCTGTTCGCTGGCGTGTGACGTCACGAGTGTTACCACCAATCACAGAGCGTTTCGATTCACGTGAAATTATTTAAAAAAACTTCATTTTTATTTTGTGAAATATGTAAATAATATACATTATTTTGTTAAAATAAAGTAGAAGTGGTATTCTTTAGACTATTGTCTCGTAAAATATCTATATTTTGTAGAGTATTTTGAATGTTGTCAAACACCGTATTGAATAACAAATTTGGTAATTATAGTAATTGTAACATGACACAAACATTAATATTATAATTAGCTACGTATCATCCATCCTCTCACAAAATCTTAAACGTTCACAACACACATCTATCCATCTCATTGCAAATAAATCACACTCTAGTGCTGACATCAGGTGGCTTACTCTTGAATCCAATTCCGATCGATCGACATTGACATTGTAAAATTTCGTACTCTTGAGTTGCAACACTAGCGCCCATCGCATCCGTATTGCGTGGATATTGAATGAACTAAATGGTATTGAGTTCGGCTTTATATTCCGTACTCTGAATGCTATTTTAACAGCTACGATAGGGGTTGTATAATTTTGACATTGAGTAATTATTGAGATTTTATTGGATTGAAATTGCATTGACATTGAGATTGGTTTCAAGAGTAAGCACCCAGGAGAGAATTAAGTATGTGTTATTCCGGACAATAATCTATCCCTATTTTAAGTTTTACCCCGATCCCTTCAGCCTGTGCCGTTTACAAACACAATTATCTGACATATATTACACTCAAAGAAAAATTTGCTATGAATGACATGAATTGCTCTGTAATATTACTGCATGGTTGGCGCAGTGGCTGAGCAAGAGGCTGAGGTCGCGGGTTCGATTCCCATATGGTATTCATTGTATGATCGCCAAAAACAAATTCTATGTCCGGGTATGATGTATGTAAAATTATATATTTGTATATGTACTAGTGACACAGGACAAAACCCAATATGGGGTCGAAGTTTTATTTAAAAAAACAATAACTTGATTCTTAAAAACATTAAAAACCAGGCCTCTAGAGGACTACGGTAGCACAAGATGGCGACAAGTGGAATACTTTGGAGGATTTATCTAATACTTCTTACAGGATGCAAACTAACCAACACGAACAATAGGTGTCGTGTGTAGGTATATATTATAATTATATTTATTTATTCTCTGAAATATACTAGTTTATCTTTCATCTTATACTATTATATAAAGCGTTTGAACGCGCTAATCTCCGTAACTACAAGTCTGATTTGAATCATTCTTTTTGTGTTGGATAGCGCATTTATCGAGGAAGGCTATATGCTATAAAACATCACGCTACGACCAATAGAAGCTGAGCAGGGCGTGTAAAACCGCGCGGAAGTAGTTTGTTAAATAAAATCATTGCCTGCCTCTTGCACCTACTATTAACTCTTCTCTGCATCACCCAACGTCAGACTGGGAGAAAATGCCTGCGGCATTAAGTCCACCTATTTGTACATTTTGGGCATGAAGCATATTAAATAAATAAATAAATAAATAATACTAACTCTAAGATTTTAATAGAACTGTCATAAACAACAGTATTCTATGAATTTTGTCCGAGATTGTGTATTGTGACGTCACGTTTTTTTAGCGCCAAACAGCATACTTATTTCTTAAAATATAGCTAGAAATTTACTAAAATTAAGTCGGTCATAAAATCAATTACTGAAAGTGTGATTATTTTTTTAAATATATTATTGTATTGAACAGTCGAAATAACAAGTTTCGACGAATTTTTGATTTAGGAAAATACCCAATTTAGTCTAACAAGAAAAAAAAATGAAAATGAACGACTTTTATATTTTATTTTTTAACTTATGTTTTTATTTTGTAAAGAGCAGTTTATGAGTAAAAAAGAAAGAAAGTAAAGTAAAGAAAATTTTAACAATTATGATTTAACAAGTATTATTAATAAGCGAACTTTTTGCTGTAATAATATGCTGTTCTTTGTTTAACCCGTTGAAATCCATTCCCTAAATTTGGTCATACAAAAGTAGTCTCTAAACGTTAAAAATAAGGTCTATAATGTAATGTAATATTAGTGGAAAGCGGGCACCGGTGACCGCTTGGGGATTTATGGGTTAATGCATGTCGTGGCAGCCTTTAACTCGTCGAGTACCGGTTTTGTAGACACAATTATAGAACAATAGGTTGCGGTCACCGGTGACTGCTTGGTGTTTGACAGTTTAATTAAGGCTACGCTATACAGTGTTGAAATATGTTAAAAATCCTATCATGTATTTTGGTGTATGTTTTGTTGATTGCTCTTACATAAATAAATAAATAAAATAAACAACACTTTGCTGATTGGTCCGCTAATAAATAAGAAAAAATATTTTAATTGATGCTTTGTTTTACATTATTAACTATATATATAAATACTAGCTTCTGTCGGCGACTTCGTACGCGCAATCCCGATATTTCCCGTACCCATTCTTGATTTTCGGTTAAAAGTAAAAAATAAGTATTGGGTAAAAAGTATCCTATGTCCGTCTCCTGGTTCTAAGCCCACCAATTTTCATCCAAATCGATATAGCCCTTCTTGAGTTATAAATAGTGTAACTAACACGACTTTCTTTTATATATATAATAGATAACATCACGTCTTTTATCCCCGAAGGCATAGGCAGAGGTGTACATTACGGCACTTAGTGCCACTGTACAATGTAACACCAACATTTCACTATTTATGTTATGAATCCCATGTAATAGGGGGTGAGCCTATTGCCATATACTGGGCCCAATTAGATTCCCACATTTTTTATAAGAGGTATTATACACAAAATAAAAAAGTTACCTGATCTGCAGTATTATCTGCTTGTTTATTCATTTTCCGGGCTATGATTATTTTTTTCATTTAAACACTTTTTTAATGCACACACAACTCTCTTGTAGATGGTATACTACACTAGGAGCCATTTTAATTATAGTTGTCACTTTATATAATTTCATTTTGGTGATTACTTAGTATATTTCGTTAATTAATTACTTATTTTTACTATAATGAGGTCTAAAGATCTATTTAAGGCACTAATTTAGGTTATTTAACCTCATTATCTAATGATTAATTAAAAATAATTAAAATCCATGGGTGAAGAATCAAGTATTGGAACAATAAGAATGAATTTAACTAAAAGGAGGTTGTAAAAGAAATAAAAAATAAATAAAAAAAATAGGGTAAATTGTTCTATTTTCAAATTCTTCACATTCCGTTTTTTTTGCGCGAAATCCTAGTGGAGACTAAGACATAAGTTTTACTTCGAAAATATAAAGATAAGTATGTAATATGTATTATGTGTAAAGTAGACATTTAGATCGATGTTAAAAGAAAGCAGTTTCCTGCCATTGTTTTTTTACGGTTATACAAACAACTAAATTCACGAACGACGAATAGCGGTTTCATAGAAAAAATGTTACGAAATTATGAATCATACATTATAAGTTCCGTGTCAATTACAATTAAGTATGTTTCACTTATAAAATGGAACATATACGTTAAAAAACAAAGCAAAATGTATAGAAAAGAGTACAATACAAACTTTTATTCACAAACACAGACGTTAACTTATAGACGCTTCGTAAAAAATCAACACTGAAAAATATACTATCATAAGACAAAACTTTGATATTTTAACACAAAACTCCGCGAAATTAACACATAAATAGCTTGTAGGGGCCACAAAATGGCGTTGTAATTCATAAATGCAAGAAACAATAAGACTTCTCATGAAATAACAGCACACTAGCATATCAGGGTGATCTAATTATATTAATATGTACTTATTTTGAATGAAACACTAACCTTTTGCTGTATTTTTACAATCCACACGGCAAAAAGATGTTATTTAGTTCACATTAATGGCGTTTCTGTGTGATTTTTGTTGTTTCTTAGTTAAAATTATAGCGAAACATGAAAATAAAAGGTTATGGTAAGTACACCCGTATAATCATAACAAGTTCTCTTTGTGTAGTGACGGGGCACGCCGAGTTTCGTTCGACGATTCGAGTGCGGTAAGCGATGAGTCATTCGCTTCGGTAATATTCCGAATATCGATTCTTTAAGACTTTTTATTTACTCAATAAAGTACATACATACTCAATTTAATTATTGAAAAATGACATTTAAATATTGTTTAATAGCTTTTATCTGTAATCTAGACATTGTAAACGTTCTCAATGTAATTCATGTTACTTACTTATGATTACTTATTAATGACCTTTAACTGTATGGTTATTAAGTACATTGCATTTACCAAAGAACAATAATTAAGGACCTAAAAATCTGTGCTTTAAGATCGATTTTTAACTTCATACTACAAATGTGAAAAAACGATCCATATTTATAGGTTAGAATATTATTAATTTCGGTCGTATTAATGTCCCATTATTTATGGATTGCTATCGAAAGTTATTAGATAATTTTAATTAAAGACAATTGTTTTAAATGTCTTTTAGATTCGTTAGATTAAACCATAGTCGTTATTTATTTTGAAGCTATAATAAGTACGATTACCCATTTTTAATATTAAACTGTCAAACACCAAGCGGTCACCGGTGACCGCAACCTATTGTTTTATAATTGTGTCTACAAAACCGGTACTCGACGAGTTAATCGATTTACTAACAATCGTTGTTGTGCACAAATTATAGCACATGGACAACACTACCTCAAGCTTCACGTACGCGCATTGGATGTCGCATTGTAATTCATTGTTGTTGAAATTGACGCTTTATTACATTACGATAAGGACTAAATTGATTAATTTACAATGTTACAGTTAAACGTACTATGATTGGACCAATTTTCAATATAAAGCGTCGTATTTATTTATCGTTCAGAAAAATATTGTAACGGTTAACATTTTCCATAATATAATTAATTTGTATCACTAGTCAGTTATATTTATTAATACTTGGTTACTACTAAAAAGGTACATACGTACCTTATTTAATAAGTCATTTTTAACATAAAATTAATATGTATAATTTTTGTAGCAAATGAGCTCTTCGTAGTTCCAGATTATACTACTCGATGTCGCTAGTAGTATATAATACTTGTGTTGCCAGTGTAAAATAAAAAAATGTACCAATGTTTCAGTTTATTTCAAAATACTGTCAATATTTTAATTTTCCTTACTAGGTTTGGAATCTTAACACGTATTTGTATGAATGATTATTATTATGTGAGTGTCAATAAGAATTAATATGACATTTATAGTTACCTACTTATCTTAACTAGCTTTTATTTTTTTATATTTACTATTTTTTATACCTCCAATCGTTTTTTGATAGTTTTAAAAGGTTAATAAAAACACAAAAGAATGTTCGATAACCATTTTTATTTCAAACTTAATCTAATCTCCAACATCGTACTGAGTGCTTGATTCACAAAATAATAATAATAAAAAAAGAAAAAATAAATTACTAAAGACTAGACGACAATGCTGTACATGACCAAGTTTTGAAAAATATAAAAAAAAACACGATATCACATAGCACTTGGCCGCATTCATTAATGTAAAACTGAGAAAGTTAAAGAAAAAAAAAAATTTTTTTACTTGACATTACATTTCCCGCGAAAAGATCTGTCAAGTCAAACGGCCTTATTAAAATGCAGTGTTTATGAAGTTAGGTATTGAATAATATCAGAATTTATACATGATACATTATTTTTGTTCAAAAAATTATACAAATGACGACAAAACATTTGCATATTAACAAAACATCCCTAAGACAATCAAAGTGTCAGCAATACACAAACATTTCATCAATATTTTACAAATTTTACATTGTTATTGCAATTTGCACTCTCTCAGTTTCATATTAAAATTCACATTCATACTTTATATACAATTTTTTCCACTAAATACTACAAGATTTGGCTTTAATAGTCTGTTTTGCTTTTTGTCAAACTGGTCACCTTGTTTTGGTATTAAATTATTATTAAAAAAATGTCTTATGAGTTAGATACGTCTTGTGAGATAAATAAGGTTAGCGCCGCGCTTGACGAGTTTTTCAACATTTTAGCTTTTTTTACTATGGTTTATAATTGTAATACATATTGTCAACGATGAAGAAAATGGGTACATTGTTAAATAAATACTAACGAATTGACATTATTTCATTTTCAACCAAATAAAGAACTATATACTCGAACAAACGCAGCGCCCATCAACCGTACATCAGTAGTTACACATTGCTATTAAAAAATCATACTTATTACATAGAAAATAAAGGCGATACCTATTATGATGATACACGGTTGTACAATAATACACAAAATATCCATAAGTCATAATTAAAGTTAATTGCATTAATAAAAAAAAACATTAAAAAGAATGAAACTGACTTAACGTTTGGTTTTAAATATGGTAATCAAGGAATGGTCAAAACTATATACAAAAAAGAGGTTCAACATTGAACTTGACGTTTAAAAATTCAAGCGATCTGTCAAACTTGAGACGTCAGTTCAAAAAAAGTCACAAAGAAAAAGATTTCAGTTACATGTTAACTGAAGATTAAAAGATATGTGTTGTTTACAAATAAATGCAGTAATTAACTGTTAAATAACATGATTATAATAACTTTAACCCATTCTCATTCGTTCATCTATTGACTTCTAAAAGAAGAATTGTATTGAACAATTACTCAATTAAAATGAGGGTTTTCGAGCCACTGAAGTTCTATATAATATTTACTAATATCAAGTAATCAGTCAGTCAACTTGTGACAACTAAGTTGATTGGACTAACATACCCTTAGCCGACTAGCGCCATCTCTTAATTGTCACCAAAACCCTCAATAAGTCAACAGAGAAGTAATTGAGAAAGGGTTTTTTTTATATATTCCACACGGTTTTAAAGACAAAAGTAGGCTCATATATTAAAAATGATATGTGAACAATTGCTTTATATAATTGAGCATGATAGGAATGATAAATATCGGGTAGACAGAATTGGAGTCTTCAATAAGTCAAAAACAGACATTCACAATATACAATGTTTTACAGTCATTTTTATATTATTTTACCACAAAATTTTAAGGTAATTATTTTTACATGTATTACTTTATTACAGCGCTGATCGCTGTTCAGCGATTCCAAATTTACAATCATTGATGTTTAATGACCACATCACAACACGTGACAATCCCGAGGCTAATCTCAATCTCATATATTTTGTACAGCGATACAAATCTATTAGTATCGAAAGGCACCTACTAAGAACCAGGTTTACATTATTTATACTGAAATCTAACTAGACTGGCTAAATACGCAACACTACATTAAAAAAAACAAAAGAAAAAAAAACCCTTTACTTAAAGCTCATTAAAACTATTGTCGTTATGAAAAAAAACGCGTCCTCACGATTTTCTACTGATAATCAATGAAATTTAACACTGGCAACACAGCGTGGTAGCTTTGGTAGATCTACCGGCTTGATTTTAGCTAAATTTCCGATTATTATTAATAAAAAGAAAGTCGCTTGGAGGCGTTTTTAGGAACTCCCGTTTTCTTTTTAGAATTATTTGAATATGTAGTATTATTTAACAGTTATATTCTATTCAAAATGTTGGAGGCACGAACTCTCCCCGAACCCCAACCGGTTACCCAACTAAAGGACTACACATTTGACAGACACCGGGCAGCAGCGCTCTCTACTAAAATAACTTTAATTATACAAAAGTCGTTATTTTAAATAGAATATAACGTTTTTTTTTATTATTTACCATTACACAAACGTTATTCTTTATTTATTTAAGAAACTGGCTTCAGTAGTAGACTGTCTTTGGACTTTTTTAGTCTGAAATACGATGATGATAGTTTCAGCGTACGTGTGTCACTGGGCAGTGAACCTCGCTACCATCAGTTGACTATTTCATCATGATATTTCAGACTAACACACGTTAATAATTAAAGATTATGATATGATTATAATAATTAATAATTATTAAATGCCTACAATAGTGTCATGGACGTACATACAATCGTTTTTCTTAAAGATTTGTGCCCTATTGAAAATTTTATAAAAACGCCATCTATGGAGAAATTTTGTTACTACTACATTTCAAGAGCGACATCTGTCGGATATTTTACTAACTTGATTTTTTACTAAAAAATTTGAATATTATTCACTGTCAATTTGTCTTAAGCAGCGCTAATAATATGATACATAATATTTTTTTGTAAATACGCTAATAATAATTAATTAATAGAAAACAAATAATTTAATTATGTATTTCCAAATTTCTAATTATACATACTTAAATATGACCTAATAAAAAGGAGTTATTATTGAAAACAATATTAAATTATTCCTTCAAAGGGGACACATAAATTTAAGGCTGAGTTGCTTCCAAATTATTTTATACAATACATTTTCAAAAACTACTATCCAATCCGAAAGAGCCAAAATATCCTCAAGTTACAAAAAGTTTCAAAAAGTCTAATAATTGTTTATTTTTCCTCTTTGGCAAACCGAGTCTCCAATAGGATGTTGTCGACTACACTGCCAGTATTGATTGGTGACGGCAGTTTAATGAACCGTCGAATAAATGATTTCGACTTTGATATTGTTGTTGACTTTGACATTGATTTTGAATTTGACATTGACATTGATTTTGAAAATATTATTGACATTTCTTACCCACGAGAGGAGAATGATCCAGTAATAATATAGTACACAGACCGGTAATGAAATGATGACATTGACGTTTGACTTTCGGACAGAGAGTTAAGAAAAGTATTGCATAAAATATAAATCCTATGTACCTATATCTTATTTATTTAGAATACCTACATTATATACAGTACATAGCCTCGCTTTAAAACCTAATTGGGGCTGAATTTTTAACTAAAAAATATATTTTAATTTATCAATTTCTAACCTTCTCCGTGCTTTGGTCAGCAGTGGCCACCTATAGGCTGGTAATGTTGATTGATGATGAGTTCAAGTAATCATTAAATGTGTCTGAATAAAATTACTAACATCGGAGCTAATCATATATTGTTTGTCAGTTACAGTCGTTTCATGTTAGCACAGAATCAAAAAAGCAAATTCGTTCCTTATTTGCGAACTAATGCACATATTCGTTTAATGACAAAAAATGACGATCAACTCCCGAATTCTGACGAAAGTGGCCGAAGTCGTCCGTCTTAATTTTATCTCAAAAGGAATAATTTGTATGTAGAAATAAGGTTGAATTTTCTATAACATTAAATTCGAAATTGATGTTTTAACGAATTCGCTTTTGTGACTAAAAAAATACATTTCTTTAATATTTTACCGCACCGCAGAAGATATTAAAATCAGCCCTTTTTCGAAATTATATTCATGTCTTAGAAATTAAAAAAAAAAGGTCAACGCAACGTAGTTTTTGTTATTAAAAAAAAATATTTTGTATAAAATTTTCGACCCATGTCATCCCGCTAAATATTAGCTCTTGATTCCTATCTTTTGAGAATAACCTCAAAAACCTTTTCAAGTACAAGTTTCAAAATGTTTACAAATACTGAAGAATAAATAGACAAAACTAAATTTTACAAGACATCGCTAGTAATTTAGCAAGAAAGATAAAAATTGCAGAAAAGTAATGACAATAAGTCAATTCCAATATTTAATTTCTTTTTGTCCATCAGTTAGACAATGAACAAATATTAGACAAGTATTTTTAAAAGAAAACAGTACTTAGATATAACGAGAATAAAATTTAGTAATAAGAACTCGCTACGTCATTCCTAAGCATAACAGTCGGGTAAAAATGTAGGTACTAAGGAGTGACGTCATACGCTATTTCAAACGATCAGAAAACTAGAAATCACTGTCACAAAAAAGAAAAGAAAAATACGTGTCGAATATTTTAAACTAATCTATCAGACGGACATTGCTATTAAAGGTATCATAAACATTTCGAAACTGGCACTTCAGCCGTTATTTTTTTAAAAACCTTAACGAATAACCAGTCAGTTTGAAAACTAACCCAAATACTGCCAATTAAAGCACAGACTCGCCAGCAGATCAAGTTATACCTATTTCTGTTACCCTTCAAACGATTTCCTACCCTCCTTACAAGGCAATAAACTTGAAAATAAAAAACGCTGGTCTGTATGTCAACTTTTAACCAATCATAGCCGTTTACATCCGCCGCCAATATAAATAACCGACTTAACCCGAAACGCAATTTAAATATATTATTATTATTCATATATTAATTACTAATAGTTTCTAAACAATTTTTGGACTGAAACCAGATCAAAAAATGTACAAACGCATTCAAGCTTTAACGAATTTCTCACCCTCTTTTTTACAATTTCATTCGGAGGCACGATTAAACCTAGAGAGCGCCATAGGCAAGCACCTCAAAGGCGACCCTAATTTTCACTCTATGGGCAGTTGTGCACGCGCGTCTCGCGGCGCCCCTCTGTATCCTAGCGCCCGGCACTTGCCTAATTCGCCTCAGGGTTAATCCGGCCCTGGTTTCAGTACAAACCTCACCTAACCTTAAATACCAGATATATACACATTTTTTTGGATTAAATATTCATTTTGGCATCTAACATATCAAGATTTGTATGTGCGGATTACATCTTTGATTTGGGCTCTACATAGGGGACATTGTCCCCCACCTTTACCTCTCCATTGTTGGACAGCGCACCGGTAGCACATACACATATGCCCACACATATACAGCACAGAATCTATGGGATTCTCGTAGCAAATTGTGCATTCCGTCCCTGTAAGGTTACCAGTTGTCCCACCTTCGCCAATCACGGAGTATATGGGTTGATGGCGACTGGTTGAGGGCCCGTTTTGCAGCCTGTCTGCAAGTCTTAAAGGTTCTGAATGCCCGTTGGGAAGTTGTGCCTGCTCGTTCAAGTTGTTTTGGCTCGTCGATGAGCACTGGTTGTCTGGTCGTGGGCGGGTTGGTTGTGGTTGATAGTTGCAGGTTGCCGGCTGGTTGATTGGTAGTCCGGTTAGACAGAGTTGTGATGTTGTTTGGATGGGCTGGAAGGAGAAATAGAAACGATTATATATAATGTATTTATTGGCAATGCACATTGGAGTAATAACAAAGCGACGAAGAGTAACTGCTACGTTTAATACGACCACTTCTGTTTATCAGAGGTAAAAAAAAATTAAAATAGCAAAAAGATCGTCTTTCAACCTACCTCAATATAATGCGCGCTAGCAAGAGTCAAACTCTGTTGATTATTTGCATTCTGGCTTCCATTCTGAGGTGGTAGACTAACCACGAGAACAGTTCCACCGGCTCCCGCTGTGATCGGGGCTGCGGTACCTGTTAGAACCCTCAACTGCTGAGGAGGAGTTTGAGCTTGCTGCACCACTTGAGTGCTGAGCATTCTGACTTTCTGCGTAGCTCCATAGATATCCACAAAGGCCCATAGCCTCAGCGTATGGTCCACATGCATGACTGTGACTGGAGTTGACCCGTTCCTGCTTACACGGACCTCTCCGTCCAAAGTAAGGGTCACAGCTAGTTCATCGCCTCTTCGAAGACCGTTTGCAGCGTCCCGTCTAACTACCCAATATTCCGGACGGTCTAGAAGTAATTCTGCATCATCAGGTAAGTCACAGGGTCTTAAGGTGCCTGGATCACATGATGTTAAGCCAATAGCTAAGCTGCCCGCATAAGCCGCTTCTGTAGCTAGGATTTGGACGACAATAGTCTGCCCTGGACGCATAGGACGAGCTGTGAAGACGTATCCTTGACAGAATTCTGCGTCAGCTCTCGCAGCAATGCCTCTATCATTTATAAATTGGACGTTTCTTCCCTTAGTTCTGTGTAGACTGAGCGGTACCAGAGGATTTTGGTATCTAGGAGGTGGAAGCGGTTCCTCCATGGTTAAAGACCTCATGCTACCTACTAGTCTATCTTCCTCAACTGGGCTGTGTCTCCTTTGGCTCGGGGCTCGAGGATCCGCGAATTGAACCGCTGTACAGTTCCCGTAGACATCTACTAGCGCCCATAGAGGGTTTCGTGTGTCGACTCCTGAGAAGAATAGACCTTTATCCTGCCCGTTTACTCCGAAATGGACGTCTCCAGAAGAATTGACATAATAATAAAGAATATTGTCTTTTTCGCAAAATCTTTCGCCGAGAGCTTTGGCCCAGTTGCCAGGTTTGTTTGTGAGGTCTGGGCACGCGTACTTAGGGAGCGCGTGCGCGAGTGTGGCAGGGTCATGGTTCGTGAATCCAAATCGGATAACACCACTCCAACTGTTCGAAATTTCGACGAAGCGTAGGCACACCTGCAAATAGAAATTATTTTGGTTTAGTGTCTGCTGCACTCGGAGCTGTAAAAGATTTAATCAATTTTCAAGCAAGTAATTTAGTTCAAAATTATTTAATACAAGTAATTGTCTTTCAAATGCCATCGAAATTGATAAAAATCTTTTCCTAGTTAACATATACAAAAAAAACCTTCATCACACCAACTCACCTTCTCATTAACCCTGACAGGTCTTGCGCTGAAGGCCACACCCTTGCAGAAGGACTCCACGCGACGAGCCATGGAGCCGTCTCTGGAGACCCTGACATTCTCTCCATGGACTGAATGGAAGCCAAGAGGCGGGAGGTTGTTTGGAGTTCCACCTGTGCATGATGTTCGGGGCGCTGCAACAAGAGAATGGAGGTCATAAGTTATGAGGTTCTGAAGGTTATTTTGAAAATGGTTGAAGATTTTGGAGGATGTTTGGCGACACATGTCAAGCGACAGCTTACGCACATAGGCCATTGATGAAAACAAATCAACAGATAAAGTCACAAAATCCTACATCGTACATGTGAACTTTACATGCGAATACGAACAACTGTTGGGCAGAAAGCCTGCCAGACATAATCACCTCGCCTGGTCGGAGGATCCTTCTTTTCCGATCTTAGGAAACTTTACTCTCTGTTCCCTAAAGGTGTTTGGGTGTTAAAGATGGCGGAGATTAGTTGGTAAGAGGTTAAAGTATAGAACTTTATAGAACTTTAATCACAATGTAATCTAAATCCTTACGAAATAAAGAAATTCTATTTACGTGACTTCTTGGCAGATGTATTATAAAATCTACTATGCCATTAATAGCTTCAATCTTCATAAAATGATCACAATCAAATTCTAACCTATAAAGACCAGAGCACGCAAGATATGAACCTAAACAAATATCGAGCATATAAAACGAAAATGATTTACACCAATTTACCGAAAAGCTGGATGATTGCACCAACATTTATAATCGTATTACCAATTTTATCGAAGGTACTAAAATATTCTCACTCATACATAACATAAATAGTGAGTGGGTGTTACATTGTACAGTGGCATTAAGTGCCGTAATGTACACCTCTGGGGATAAAAGGCGTTGTTATGTTATCTTACTTCAGACAAAACTGTCTTTAATTACCTTTGTCCAAGAACCAAAAATACTTCGCCAAACTTGTCGAAATATAATTTCTTACAGCTATAATGAGCCTATGACAATGCAATTCTTGTCGGCTCCCCTAAGACCATTGTATCTCCCCTCGCTATAACTACAAAATGGCGTCGCGTCACCTGCGCAGCAGATGTGCGCAGTGCGCAGCTTGCCTACGCGCAGCCGATGCTTAAAAGGATATTTTCTTTAATTACAATTTTGGAACAAGTCTCGGTAATTAAAAGGTTTATAAGTAGGTACTTGTATATGGAGATATTTGTTGGAACAATGTAGGGGTTGTTAAAAAGTACATTAATATCTTAAAGTTAAAAGCTGTAAAAGTTGTAAGTAATATTCAATTGCATGTATCTTTTATCCTTGACTAGGTGATCCTACAAACTTCGTACCGCCTATTTTTTCATATTAAACCTTCCCTGTACTTCTATGAACATTTCTAGGCGCAAATTAGTCAAATCGGTTCTTTTAGCGAGACTAACGAATGGAAATTCATTTTTATTTATATAGATAGATTATTTTGATTGCGTATAGTAAAAAAAACCATTCATTGGATTTACTAATATTAATTGACAATAGTTTGAGCTAAGCTAATGTTTGCATAGTGATAGTAACCGGCCGATGGAAGTCATTGGGAGAGACTCAGGTCCAGCAGTAGAGTTCTGATATCATGACAATAATATTTTTTTTACTCTGGGTATCCACATGAATGTCGTTTGTCATGTCGTGGTGGCCCAGAGGGTTCGAAACCTACCAACGGCAAGTACCAATGTGACATTTTCAGAGTTAAATTTACTTTCTAAGATTATCAAGACACCACTGACATACGGAAACGGAAGCAAAACTTCGTGAGGAAACCTGGGCTTATAATTTGTAATTATAAGTTTGAAATCACCAAGCTGCATTGAGCTAGCATGGCGATTAATGCTCAAACCTTCTCCGTGTGAGAAGAGGCTTTGCTCAGCAGGCATTTATAAACTGTGGGAGATGATCCATACGAATGTACCTTTTTCTAATATACATTTGAATAATCAAGTTCTAAGACCAATATAACGACAAAAAAAAAATCAAGTCTTTAAAAAACAAAATGATACAATACTGTGAATACAACCCCTATCAAATAATACTTAAACCATAGACTAGCTAGGGGGCGAGCACGTGTCACTTCCGTTTATAGAGGAAGTGACGTAACGTGACACGAGCTCGTTCAATTTAGCGAATAATTTTCGAGTAATGATAGTGAAGTGTCATTTTTATTAAGTTGTACAATTTCATGATTAAGTTGCTGTAAGGGCTCGTACACAAAACTGCGAAGCGACGTCGCATCGCAAGAACTCGCTAATTGATTCGCATCGCGCATCAAAATCTTTTCATCCCAAAATCTTCTTTGTTTCTTTTTCCTGTATCTCCTAAGAAATAACAGAAGTGCACACTTCTTTTTACGATCCATGTCACGACCTAGTTTTCAATTTAAAATACGTTTAGTACGGTTGACGGTCGTCGAAGGAATGATCACCCTGCCCTTGTCGCACGAAATCGCATCGCAGCAATTAGCATCGTAATTTTTTGCGTTGCGAATTCGCATCGCATCACATAGCAGTTTTGTGTACGAGCCCTTATAGCAAGAAACTCCACAATTTTCCTATTATTTTACTTTACACCTAGCTATAGCTTATTTAAAACATCTTACATAATATAGTCTAAGAACGCAAAAAATTCTGCAACCTTCAACCAATCAGCAAATTCGTACCCTTTAAAATTTAACTCATTACTATTTATACGTTGACCCTTCCTTCAAGGGATTAGCTTTGATCCCCTCTCTTATTAATAGTCTGACCCAAATACCTACAGCGCTGCTTACCCTCCGATAGTACATCTGTGTTTATTATAACATGTTCTCAAGGGGATGTGTAATAAAATGTCTATTGTTCGATCGAAGTTGAAATGGGTAGAGTGCTGATGCCTTGTTGGGGCTGCGCTAGTAATTTGATCGAGTACCGACCTTGTACTCGCTTCTGTCCCAAAATCGAAGTGAGAGAGAGAGAGCTACTAAATACTCGCAACTCGGCTGATACACTAGCGTAGTGTGAACGAGGCATAAGGGAGTTCTTAGGGGTCGAAATTGTAACACTTGGTAAAGTGTACGATAATCTTTTTCTGATAATGGAATTGGCTTTCGTTTTGGAGCATACATTGGTATTTAGGCATGCTTCATTGGTTGGGGGGGGGTTAACAAGGATCAATACATGGTAAATAAATATTCGAAGTCTTGAGATTTAAATAGAGCCACGTTACGCCATAAGATGATTTCTTAACTGTAATTACGGTACAGCAAAAATGTGTAGTTTCGACATCTCTGACTTTGAAATGTCGCACCGGATTGTGAATCCTAAAACCAGAGTTTACGTATCAAACAAAAGAAGATTTAAAGCCATTTGAAGCTAGCAAATACCAGTGAACCAGGATTTACAGTAGATACAAGCATGCAAACACCGGAACACTGAAGTCCAACATCCCAGGGACATGATCAACTGTCTGGGATCCCGCAACGAAATCAATCAGAAGATATTGTTAGAAGAAGAGAAAACGATTATAAGGATGATGACAGGGTATGAAAATTAAAAATCTAATTAGTCCGTCAGTTAGGCAATGAAAAAATATTAGACACGTATTTTTTTATTTTACTATACTTAAATATCTATATACTTAGATAAAACGAATCAAAGTTTCGGAGTGGCGGCTAAAACATCATTTCTACGTATAACATGTACATAGAAGTGACGTCACGCGACATTTCAAATAAATATATCGTCGAAAGTATTCGTTCCTGTAAATAAAAAAAAAATACGTGTCTAATGATGTAAAATAATCTACCAGACGGACTTTAAAATAAAAATTAGTCATCTACCCTATTCCTGTCTAACTTGACTACCATTTACACTTGTATATCCACACTTTTAAATACACTTAAAAACACCACACAATAACCTTTATACTGTAACTAGCGACCCGCCCCGGCTTCGCACGGGTGCAATATGCATGTATTATACATATAAACCTTCCTTAAGAATCACTCTATCTATTAAAAAAAACCGCATCAAAATCCGTTGCGTAGTTTTAAAGATCTAAGCATACATACGGACATACAGCGAAAGCGACTTTGTTTTATACTATGTATTGAAGTATAAACCACAGATCAAAGCCACTTCAAACGCCAAGTGTCCAATTACAATTTCCCCCAAAAACGTATCGAAGATAAAATCGGATTCGGATGGTTCCGCCGGAAACGATCCTTAGACGCGCCCCTGTATAATTTTTTCTACACTTCCGAATAACCCACCTGGTTGAAACTCTCGAAATATATTTAGTTTCCCTCGATTTTGGACGAAACAGATGGTTTGAAGTTGTAATACACAATTTATAATGCAATTTTTGCAATAAGACCCCCCCGACAAGGTCCCTTCCTGTTTTAATTTCTTTTAAGGCAACTGCCTTAGGTAAAGTTATTTAACATAGGCTTTAGTAATAGTTTAGTAATCGTCAAAAATGACTGAGTACAGCCGTAACAAAGATTAGAACGAGCACCTAGCTTCACTCAGAGACAGGCTGACAGACAGCTCTATTTTGGCGGTTCCAAAATGATTGTATGTGGATCTTATGCTTACATGGCTGACTTTAACTAGAAAACTGAATAAAAAATCATTTATTTCTCCCAAAACGATGCATTAAATTAAAACAAATTCACTGAAATATTTAGATAATGTCTCTTATCTGAAAATTTTGCACCTAAAACACTTTTGAACCGCAAATCCCCCATCCAAAAGACAATTTTCTATCTACTTTAACAGTCTAATTAAAAAGAACAATAAACAAATCTAGTCTAGGTACTATTTCAGATCTAGTGCAGTGATGACGTCAAACCGCTAAACATAGCGCAGATTACACTAGGAAGATTCGATGACGTAAAGACTGACATTTGCGCAGGCCCATGACAGTTGCAACGATTAATTTATTGGCTGTCGTTTTGTTTTGTAGTGCCTTAATCGCTTGGACTAGTGTTTTGTTTGGTTTTGCTTGTGTATTTTGTATTTTTGGGATTTTATGCCTTACTATAACTACCATTAGATCGTTTCTGTCGATGTTTTAGCGGTCTCCATTCGAAACTACACTTTGGAACGAGCATCTAGCTTCACTAACAGG